GTGTGATGCTATGGTGCGGGTGTTGAAGGGGCTTGGGGATGGGGAGAGGAGGGTGTTTGTTGCTACGATTGGGCCTACGACGAGGGATCATTTGAAGAATAAGTATGGGTATGAGGCGGATGTTTGTGCCGAGACACCGAGTCAGGAGGGAGTAGGCATGGGCATTGAGGAATTCATGAAGATGTGGAGGAAGAATAGGGCAGGGCAATAGGTCTATATTTTGCCTGTGGTCGAGTTTGTATCTATACCAGTACCGTAGTATATACCCGTTGTTATGATTGATGATGACAATCTTACGCTGGCTGAGAACCTAGGCAATAATGTATTTCCAGCTCAAGATTGACAAGCGTAAGACCGGCTTATCTGTTAAAAAAGTGAAAGCACCAGACGCCTGAAAACGTGTCAAAAAGGCCAATCATGAGACTCTGCCAATATCATAGTCGATGCGCGAGTCGTCTATGCAACTAGATATTAAGTGCATGGGTTCGGTCATCCCATCCTATTTATCCCGACCTGTATTCCGTCTTTTCCGATCGATAAGCTGTCCAATGCATACTGCGATGCATCCGAAGCTCACCGCATAATCTCCTCGTAGATTAGAACTGCGAATGTCAGTATGGGAACAACAAATTATGTTTGTATAATTGTGGTAAACTCACTCTTCAACTGCTCCTTGCTAAGGGCATCCTTATTCTTGTCGAAGTCAAAGAACCCTTCCGGAATGGGAGGTGCCGTGGGCTCATCTTCGGGGTCATGATACGGCTCCAGGTACGGATGGCGCAAAGCTTCCTCCACAGTAATACGCTTGGCCGGGTTGAATGCCAGGAGCCTCTCCAGGAGGTCCAGGGCCAAATCGTTGGCCTTCGGGAATAGCGCCTTAAAGGGGATCTTCTTTTTGAAAGGGAGAGATCGGATATATTCCCGAGCCCGTCGGGATTTGATTCCATAGTAGTCCTCCATTGTCGGTGTACCGAGAACGTCCAAAATAAGAGTCAGTTGGTGATGATCTTGAGGTTATGTTAGCTGACTGTCTCCAACGATGGATGAGGAACGACGTACAATCCTTTCCAGGGAATAGAGGTTTTCCGCTCAGCATCTCAGCGAGGATACAACCGACACTCCACACATCAATGGCTTTGGTGTATTCCTTGAATGTCAACATGATCTCCGGCGCACGGTACCATCTGGTCGCCACATATTCTGTCATGAACCCTGAGTTATCATCTGTGGAGGCAGCCGAACGGGCCAAGCCAAAATCGCACACTTTCAAATCGCAATTTGCGTTGAGGAGCAAGTTCGAAGGCTTCAGATCACGATGAAGAACGTTTGCTGAGTGCATAGCTTTCAGAGCACGTAGAGTCTGGTAAATGAAATATTGGCAGTGATCATCCGAAAGATCTTGAGTACGAATGACTCGGTGCATGTCAGTCTCCATCAGCTCCTACAGACTGATTAGTGTCTAATAATTCCTATCCAATCTCGGCGTATAACTACCTGGATTAGATAAACTTCGTTGAAGCTCTCATAGTTGCGTGGTCTTTGGATATCCAGGATGGAGATGATGTTTTCGTGGTTGAAGTAGCGAAGCAGCTTCATCTCACGCAAAGTTCGCAAACAGAACATCGAGTGGTCGAAAGGAGTGATCTTCTTGATGGCGACTTTTTGACCAGATGGTTTATGGATGGCAGAGCTGAACCGTCAGCATAATATTAGCCTCCCCTTGCACCGGCACTTACCAAACCACACCGTAGGCACCTTCACCAATGACATCTTGAATTTCATATTGGTCGGAAACGTTGAAGGAGATCTTTCGTGAGCCTCCCTGAGGAGGAAGTTGCTGCACCATATTCGTGGACTGTCCGAACTAGGTTGCATTAGCTGAATGTACACAACTTATAGTATGGTGCTTGGTTGCCAAGTGTACTGCGCTTCATGTCCGCATTGGCTATCGTGAGTGAGGCAGTTGATTTGACCTCAACTCCCACTGACAAGTCATTGTGTAGTTGTGTCGCAAGCTATCCGGTACATCATTGGCGGACAACATGACAGGAAACATGGCGGGTTCATAATAACCCCGGCGGTAAATATTGAGAATGCGCTTACATTCGCTCAGACTATAGGTTCCCGTTTATAAATGCTCTTGAGCTCTTTAAGCAAGTTTGTACGCCCTGGCGATGCTGATCGAGAAACAGTTCTCGGGATTCGTTCTGATTGAATGCGGGGTAGGTATGGCGTTGAGTCTGCTGCCAAACGATTCGTCGAGGGTTGCAGGAAGTTCAATACAGATATGACAATGACTGAAACTGCACCGAATGCGAGATTGAAATAACCTGGACTAACAGAGATAGCGAACGGCGCTTGAAGCGAACGATCCGGTGTACTAAAAGCGCACATGTTAGTAACTTTCAACCATCGAACGAATCCACAGCTGATCACATCGGAAAGGTGTCAAATCAACCGTCACTAACGGGAAAGCATCCGTACATGACTGGGAATTAATCTTTGTCCTTTAGTCTCGGAGCTTGATGTTTCAGGGCTGTATTCTATTTTTACTTCCTGAACTGTCTGTTCCTTCTCTCCTGCGTGGTCTCAACAATCAATCTGGGTTATTTCGACCTCGGCAATGAGATTGGACCTGGAAAATGGGTAGAAAGAGTTGGGAATCGGTGTTTTGACAGATGTAGCACCGTGGAAGAACAGGAGAACCAAGCAAAGTGATCACAGTAATGCAATAGCCGCAGCAATAGTAGGAAGTTAATAACGGGGAGCGGATCAGCGAAAAGTGGGGTGGGGCAAAATGGAGGGGAAGAAGAAGACGACGACGACAACGATGATCAAGAGAAATCAGCGAGAGATTCGTACCCGTCAAGTTCTTGATAATCGTACCCAAGGAGGCTGAGAACCGAATTCTGGAAAGGGGACGCAACGGAGAGGATCCAGAACCAGATCTTCTAGATCGGATGGAACCGTGGATCAATCCTTTACTCGATATGGGATGATATACGGGGTAGAAAGGAGAGGGAGAAGGAAAGACACGCACACAACAAGGTTGGTTCCGCTGGAAGGGGGGGAGCAACCACGTTAAGTGCTGTTTGGCTCGACAAAAATTCCGAAAAATGGTAATACGAATCGAAAAAGGATGGAAAACGTCGTCTACTTTTTTGGGGGGGGTTAAATGATGGATCACGGGGAGGGGCGGCGGATAATGTACGTATTTAGTATGTGATCCATAACCCAGACCTATACACTACCTATTCCATCCATGAAATCCAATATGTCTCTGGTACAAAGACAAGACATTGAACTACGGGGTCAACTAGTTGCTACTAGTCAACACTGGTTGGCCTTAGTGACTAAAAACCAGCCAGAAAGTTACAAATCCTGTCACAGCCACGTATTAGGGAGGGAAACTACTCAGGAACCTCTTATACCAAGCGGTATCAAACAGAAGACTTGTTATGATACCTACTTAATCAAAGGACCCGCCAACGCCCTATGGATCATGGACGTTCTGCTTTCCTTGCAGCATTGGCAATCCCAGGGTCCGGTGTGTCTCTCGCTCCTAATCGACCGCCTCATGAGTTAATTTTGCTCTTAAATTATGGTATCACGAAAACCAAGACGGGATTTGTCAAGCAGCCATATGGATCATCCTCCCAAACGACGGTCAATTTCCCTTTGAATGGGTCTCCCCTCCCAAAAACTTACTACATCCCGGCCAGTGTTTCAATGCCATCCACCACCAGGGAACCCGCCACCAGCGCCAATTGCCTCCTGAAGGAGTTTAGTTCACGTCTCAAGTGTTGGGTCTAGTGGAGAGGGGGCAGTGCCGTTGTCAACCTTCGCCTCGCGCTACTGCTCATCATCACAGTCGTCACAAAGTTCACTGCATCTCCGTCTCTCCTTTTGTTGTCTAATCTCCCGACTAGCTTGGCATCCCCCCTCGTCGTATCGCCAACGCCGTCCCCATTCTCGCCTCTGATTCGCTCTGCGGCACACAGCCTTGTCGACGGAGTTGACATGCTAAGCTGTGATCTAAAGTCTACTGTGCATGATCGGCCTGACAGACGCTCGGGGCTCATGCACGCTTTTTCCCATGAGATAGATTCTGGGCATTGCATGAAGGATATGCTTTAGTTCCAGTCGCAGGATTTCCTTTTTTTTTTTTCCCTTTTTTTTCCCTCAAAAATAGAACCAAGTGCGAGTAACACATCCTACAGAAGATAACGGTCCACATATACCGTGACATACGGAGAATACTAAAATATCTCGCTAGCAATAACCCGAAGTAGGCAGAAATAGTAGTACAGAGAAATCCAGGCAGATGAGGAATATATTGATATCTCTTGCATATAATTTACCAAAACTTGGGAAAGCTACCATTACTGCACAACCTGTTGGCGTGTTCATCCTCGTCAGCCTAATGACTTGGCAGGTCATAGGTTTGGGTGACAGGTACAGGAGGAAAATAAAAGAATGAGAGCCTAGGAAACGGGGTCAAACCTTTTCCTGTAAGTTGCCCATCCATTGCGCAAGACTGACGCCCTGGTCGGCTCGGTCCTCCACGAGCATTGTCTGTGCCCACAGCCGGAGACCGGGTTCTCCATCCTCCTTGACCACGTACAGATGTGGCACCACAATGCTGCCGCAGCCCTTCGACCGGTGATCCCGGCTCTTCTCAATGACCGCCCGCACGCGCTGGTTCATGTCATTATCCAGGTCAGGAAGGTTCTGCTTGCCCACACGTAGTTGCGACTTGTCTGCCAAGCCAAAGACATCAACAATGAGCTGTGGCACAGCATCACGTCCCACCCAGAGGAACTGTGTCTGGCCGTCGTCAATAAGGTAGAGACCGTATGGGACGACCCGCTCAGAAGACAAGTTCACTGGTGGGGGGAGAACAATCTCGCCCGTCTGCTCATCTGGCAGGCCAGCATTATCTGGCATGTCGTGCAGAGAGTACATCTTCGGGTAGATGTATTGCATGAGAAGGGGGAGGGGGAGCGTTGAGAGCAAGCAGAGAGCCGCAGAGCGCATATCAGTCGGAATTTGTGCAGATTTCCGAAGACCAAGCTACGTCATCACGTTAGTCAATGCCAAAGCGAGGGGATAGTGGGGGACAAAAAAGATTCCTACATTCTTGATCAGTGCGAGGAAAAGAACAGGGAGTCCTCTCAAGTTAGCAGGGAACTGTAGGCCTCCGCCGCTCACACTTCCACCAGCAAGCTCCTTTCGGTAGGTTGCCAGAAGCTCCACGGCCTTGGCCTGCAGGGCTTCTCGGGCAGGGTCCAAGCCGCTTCCGAGAGCCCGTTCGACAGCCTTGTGGCTAAAGTAAGTAGCGATCGCTGCTGATCTGCTGATGCATAGACATCTGCAAGGCTCTGGGTAGTGGGAAGCGCCAGAGTCAAGACCCGAATTCTCCTCTCGCCATTGCATGTAGTATGAAGTACAGCGGTCTGCATGCAAACAACAGGTTTTGCAACAGTCTCATCAATGGCAACCTCAACAACGTAGGCCTGGTCGCGGGGGAAAGCAGGGAAAGCGCAGAGGTCGGAACTGCGATTGAAAAAGTTACCGTAAAAAGTGCTCATGCGCAAACCGGTCGTAGCACGGACACGGAGGACGGCCTCCAGGCCGATCTCTGACGAGAGGTACTCCGAGAACTCTCGTGCGAACTTGATCGCATCCTCTCCCCGTGCAGCGTTCCATCCAGGATAGAAGTACGTCTGACCGCCAGTATATCTTGGCAGGTTGCTAAGAGACGCCACATCCTGGTACTGAGAAGAAAAGAGGAACATATCTACAGAGACCTGGGCCTTCGAACACTCCACAGCAAAGCTCTTGTAGAAGCTGTTTGCGGTCTGCAAAAGACCACTCTCCTTGCTAGTGCCTAAAACCTTCTTGTCCTCTCTCATGGTCAGGGCACCATGTCCAATGTTAGGAAGAGAGGAGCTAAGAACGGTCATCTTGCCTCCAACAGGGGCGATCAACTTGTAACCAGCACGCAGTGCCGATCCCATAGCACAGCCATTGTTCTGGGTGTTCTGGAACATCTCCTGCAGTTTATCCAGGAACGTTTCAATGTTTTCACGGCATTCGCTCAGAGTTACTAGCAAATCACCAGGGATAGGGAGGAACGGCTCGTCCAAATCGCTGACAACAAGCATCCTTGGGTCCGAGTTCTCTGAGCCATCGCGCGGGATGCTGAAATAGTGGAGGCTGGAGTCGACCGCTATGAAACCAAGTCGCGTCCGACGGTCTGCATTAGGAATGCGTTCGAGAGTTTCCTTGATGCACCGAGCACTCGTAGCCAAGAGACCGTTGGTGACAGACGCATAACTAACGTCGATCAAGAAAAGGTAGACGAGTGGCTGCGGGGGGCGCACCATGTACTCCTGCGGCGCAACGAACTCAACAACCGCATGGTTAAGGTCAGGTCGCAATGCCCTATCCGCCGGTCGTTGCAGCGTTGTGTCCCAATCAAAGGCCTGGGGTACGTCGTTTGTCAGATTGCACATGTTGCAACGCCAGCGGTGCCCATGATCAAGGAATGTCACAAAGGGATTAATGTAGGATCGGCAACGGCGACAACGAGAGATAACTTGGTCTGGGATCACTGGGACTGGGTCTTCTGCATCATGGAGCGCTCCGTATGGCTGAATAACAAGAGCGAAAGGCAGCTTGGACTTCTTCAGGAGAGAGTGGGTGGTAGGAACAGCGTTGAGTGTTGACCGGACATATTTTGGGGGGCAGTTTGCAGTAGGGGAGGGATAAACGCTAGTCTAAAAGAGAGTCAGTAACTGGCAGCACCGATACTAATACTTCTCCAATCCCGGTACATACTCCTTGGGGTAAAATGATAGGAGGTGGAGGATAGTCAAGTTCCGCGACATTGAATGGTTGTGTGAGAAGGTCTGTTGGGTAAAGATGGTTAAGAACAGGTCGCGGGGCCTGGGCGGCCTGGGCAACGGGCTGCGGTGGCATCAGATGCGGATCGGTTACCCCCATCGCACCGAATTGTTGGGTCATCTGAGCGACTGCAGGCGCTGCAGGGGCAGCATATCCTTGAGCAGCCGCTTGCATCTGAGTAGGATCCGCCCCGTACACAGGTTGCTGATATCCCGCGGCTTGTGGCTGAGCTGGATATCCTCCGTAGGTACCACCAGCTGGCAGTTGACCTCCTAGGCCAGCATTGGCACCGGACCCAAACTCGAAGGCTTCTCCGGCATATGCTCGTTTCTTTCTACCTCCATGTTGAGCCGGAGTAGCGGCTAGCCCCGCAGCTTGCTGTGAAGGAGACTCATATTCGGCAGGTTGACCATACCCTTCCTGGGGAGGGTAACCCCCTTGTGGTGCGGCCATGAATGTTTATTTCGATATGTCGTAGAGGTAACTGATGGATTATTATCTCCGTGGACTCGTGTAGGGGTTAACCGGAGTATATGTTAGCGTCGCGCAATCGTCACAGGCTCACTATATTGGCGGTCAACACACTGCTCTTCAACAGGAGGGGAACGAATGGTCCAGGGAAATCTGCGTACTAACAACCAAAATTCGTCAACAGTCCAACCATGTAAATTGAGAATATCACAAGGCCACACGATTACGCCGCACTCGAGTTCAGTCGACGTGTCCTTGAGAAGGTTGGGGTAGCTGTGGGAGCGGAATGACAACGGCGTCGAACTGGCGATGGTGGTGTACGGTGGCCTTTGCGGCGGCTGCTCCCCGATCGGCCAATCAGAGCCCCGCATGCTAACCGACCTCACTGCCTGAGGTTGACTGATGATATACCTCTCTGTTACAAAGAACACTCTCTCTGGCGAAATCGAAAAGGTATATTATTGAGCTTCTAAGACTACTGTTTTCATGGAGTATACCGTTCAGATATACTCCCACCGCTCAACTAGTGAGAATAAAGGTATCAAGCAGGTCACAGAACTTCGCTCGCATTCGAGTTATGATCTCATACTTCAAGGGGTGTGAATGGCAATATTACTGTCAGGGTACAGATAAGATTGATGAATACTAGCCATTCACTCAAATTGGATAAGAATGAGCACTTAGTTCTTATTCACTTTACTGGGTTGTTTCTCTGTATATCCTTGCCATGACTCGATCTGATCTATCTCAAATCAGCATAAGCATAGGTGACAGATATATATACTGTGGTGGTTGCAAACGCCAATTACCACGCTAAGGCTATAGTTTTCCTATAATGCTTGATATTCTAGTTAACACAGAATGATTAGCTACTCGAATCTGTTCTTATAAATTCTAGCACACATACAAAAAATAAAATTAATTAGTCTCTCCACCATAACCACTCCAAACGAAGCCCCATAGCGTGACGTGGTATGTCTGGGGGAGGTTTGGACAGAGGTTGCCGTGCCAACAGCGTTGACCGCTACCAATCGCACCAAAACCAAGCTAAGTATCCTTGTCACACGAGAGCCTCTTCTGTCTCTAACATCAGCTCATGCCATTGATCGACTGTAGTGCTTTTCTTCTGTTTTGTTTTGCTATTTGTTTCATTGAATTAGTATAACTGATTTTTGTTGTTTTGTTTTCTGGCATAGCAGCGCCAATGCAAAAAGGACTTGCATTGTATTTTTGCTAAGTTCAAAATTGCGAGACAGCTCCCTGTCGCACAAGGTGGAACTGTTCATCGTGCCTTTCACTCTTGTTTAGATTGCGTGCATCTGCCTCCTATGCAGCAGGGATAGTGCGACAGGAACTTTGCCAAGGGTGCGAAAGGACGGCAGACGTCTATTTTCGATACGATAGAAAGGCATTCGGATTGGAAGAGATCTCTCTCTCAATAATTTCATACGACGTACAAGATGAGTGTCCGGGTCGTTGCGCGTGTGAGACCACTCTTGAAGTCCGAGCGGGAACTGGATATTATCCTCCGTACGGGATCTACAACTCAAGCCGCCCCGAAGAAGACCGAGAAACAGAGTTCCCAGGAAAAGAAGCTGGCGGCATTGCGGGATCGGGATACCATTGTGCGGATTCCAAACCCCAAAAATGAGAACGAGGAATACTCTTTTCAGTTCAATGCTGTCTACGATGCGGATTCTACACAGCAGGAGCTCTTCGATGCCGAGGGTTGGTGCCATACTTCGTTGTGTCTGGGATGGTGACGGTATACTGATCAGAATGGACAGTTGCTCCTACGGTTAAGCATTTATTCAACGGTTTCGATGTCACCTTGTTCGCCTACGGAGTTACGGGTACCGGGAAAACACACACGATGCGGGGCGGTAAAAGCCTGGCTGACAGAGGTGTCATTCCCCGTCTTTTAAGCAGCATATATAGGCGCAGCCGGAAGCTTGAAAAGGATGGCGACGGCGAGTCGACGGTGAATGTTTCCCTGAGTTATTACGAGATATACAATGACAAGGTCTTCGACTTGTTTGAGCCCCCAGAGAAGAGAACGCTCGCAGGACTACCTTTGCGTGACAATGGAGGAAAGACTGTGGTTGTAGGCCTGACGGAGAGGCCATGTACAAGTCTGAAGGAGTTCGAGAGCCTTTATGATCAGGCTAACACCAACAGGTCTACATCTGCAACAAAGGTTAGCACACCTTCGAATCTTGCAGGCCTGAGCCACGTGACTGACTTCTTTCATAGTTGAACGCCCATTCGTCGCGGTCTCATGCTATTCTCTGCGTTAAAGTAGCAGTCAGCTCTGGTGGTCAGACTCGGATCAGCACAGCATCTGCCATTGACTTAGCTGGTTCAGAGGATAATCGTCGAACAGACAACGACAAAGAGCGCATGGTTGAGTCAGCGAGCATTAACAAGAGTCTTTTTGTTCTGGCACAGTGCGTGGAAGCCATAAGCAAGAAACACCATAGGATTCCGTACAGAGAGTCAAAGATGACAAGAATCCTTTCCTTAGGCCAGAACAATGGATTGACCGTGATGATTCTCAACCTCGCCCCCATCAAATCTTATCACTTGGACACCATAAGCTCGTTGAACTTTGCCAATCGTACAAAGAAGATTGAGGTTCGTGAGGTGGAGAACGAGCCGATTTTCAAAGGACCTCCGAGACCGGCATCGCGTCCTTCAGTGACTGCCCAGAGGCAACCTCTGCGTCCACTGACCGCTACTGCCAATGTCAACCTTACAGCACTTGCTAGCAAAGACAAGGATGCGTCGAAACCTGGGGAGAAGCCAGTCAAGGCGTTCCACGTCTACTCTGACAAACCGCGGTCTAGGGATTCCATCCAATTCAGAAAACCTGAGCTACCAAAGCGTCCTTCCCTGGATTCTAACCACCGCTTGTTAAAGCCCAGCCGCATCGCGCAGCCCCTTCAGCCACAAAAGCACTACGAAGATATATCAGCCGCCAAGATTGAAGAGATGGTTGAGAAGAAGGTAGAGGAGATTCTAGCTGTAAGAGCTGTCAGTGAAAAGTCAAGGCAAACGCAGGTCCGTGAGTTAAATGAACAAGTACAAAAGCGCTTGGAAATGCTAGAGCAGCGCATCGAAGGCACGGAAGATGCAAGGGCAGAAGGATTGTCATTCTTGCTTATGGCCAAGCAGCACCAGGCCCGTGGCGAGGATAGCTTCGCACTGAAGATGTATCAGCTCGCGCTTCCGTTCTTCCCAGACAACGAAAAGCTTGCAAGGAAGATCAGTAGTTTGAAGCAGCGGGTCCAAAGCAAGTCCTGTCCAGATGCAGACACAACTGGCAATCACACTCTCACAGCATCCAAGAGGGAATTTGGAAGCCTTCTTTCACTCAAGAAGCAGCCCGCGGGAACGAGCTTGAAGCGTCAAGCTCAAGATTCGGATGGCGAGTACAATCCCGAATATGGACTCGAGGAACCCAGCGACGACGATATCGAAGAACTTACACACCCGAGGCGCAAGAAGCGCACCAAAACCAGTTCCCCGTCAGATGAAGGGTCTAACGTCGACTGCTATGAGGCCCCCTCACCCCGGACAATCCACCTTCTATCGATAATCAACTCTCGCGACGTGAGCCAGATTAAGCTATTGAAAGGTGTCGGCGTTAAAAAAGCTGAAGCTATAGTCGACTGTCTCTGCGAAATGGACCAGCACTTTGAGGAGCAGGACAGCGATAGACAAGTCCAGATTAACAGTCTTGCCGAACTGAGCACACTAAGAGGAGTCGGCGTCAAGACTGTTGAAAACATGAGAAATGGAGTCTTGGCATAAAGGGCATAACATATAGAAGTTGATATCTGCATCTGTGGAGTGTTGGGATATCACAATCATGTTGAACAAGCTGCATATCGCATATTGGATCATCTTGCATTGCAATTTTTGCACCATGCAGGTGCAACTCACATATACTATGCATATATTTGTTTTATCATTCATCCAGCGAAGGTGTTATGGTGTTGGTTTATTGAGATGTTGTCTGATGTTGTACTTTGCATTTACTTGGATATACTCCCAGCATGTTTTGCCTTATTAGAATAAATACCATTCATTATCAATATTTTCTGCATCATAGAATCACGAACCCGTAAACATTAGATTACCTTAAGTAAGTGAGATGTATATACCAAACCCCAAACAATCAATACCCACCACTAAATCCTTAGACTTTATGCATAAGTCCCCAACCGCTAATTCTTCCCCTAGCCCAGAGATAAAACAAAACTCCACCGAACATTACCACACCACAGAAAATCTCCAACTTCAAGTACGACCCATGTAAGGGATCAGGCAATAGAGCACCCGCGATTGGCATGCCCGTCAAAGCCGCAAAAGATACAATGCAGAAATAAGTCCCACTACGAACGCCAATCTCGCGTATGTCCGAGATCTGAGCGACCAGCGCTGGCGCCAGGGAGACGGCAGCACCTGAGCTGAAACCGTACAGAGAAGTAAACACGATGGCAGGGGCGTTGCTTCGCGACGGAAGCCAAAGCGCGAGAACGATAATGACTGAGAACAGGGATGTTAGGATCATTAGGTTGAACCTGCCGAAAAGATCCGCCAGATAGGGCGGGACAAGACGGCCGAGGATACTGTACAGTTAGTCCATTAGCGTGTTATGCGATATCGAGATGGGATATACGGACCTGGCTGCGTTCAAAATCGGGATCAAGTACGATGCCAGATAGGCCGACATGCCGTACCGTTCGGCTTGAGTTGGGATGAACGCGAACGGCAGGAACAAGCCCCAGTATACAAAAAAGGTCCCGGCTGTGGTAAGCAGGAAAGGCAGCTCGCGGAGGGGACGAACAAAATCCAGTGGTCGAAATGGTTTCCGCTGGTGTTGTAGTCTCGATTGGACCGTGATGTTGGCAATAATCAGCAGCCCTAGACCGAGGAATCCACAGATCCGCATTGTCCAGCCAAATCCTACTATGGGGATGAGTCGAGCCACCATGATAGGGAATATTACACCTCCGACGCTGGAGCCGCAGGTTGTCACACCTAGGGCCAGGGCACGACGCCGCCCAAACCAGGTACTCACGGAGGTGAGGCAGCCGTGGAAGATGGCACTTGTCCCGATGGGGCTGCAGACACCTTGTGCGAGAATGAATTGGTAGTATTCTTTTGAGATGGATACCATCATCAGCCCGAAGACGTGGAAGAATGTGCCAGCAATCAGAATCCAGCGGGGACCGAAGTTGTCGAAGAACACTCCTACGATGGGACCCTGTTTGGAGATACAACCGTCAATGTCTCGCTTTGACTGACACCGGAACTTGGTGTACACACCCCAAAAAACATCATGAAGATTCTAACGAAGTGATCCACGTTACTGTACTGGTTGGCAAGTCCTGTAGCTGATGGGTTTTATAGTAGTCCAAGAAGACACCGATACCTGCAAACCCTGCCGTCAGCATAATCCAAATCGAGCTCAAGGCCCAAACAACATCTAAGGGTACAAAGCCCACAATATACTCACAATTTATCCACCCGAAACTGACGAACAACCCACAGAAAGCACCGAGCACTACCATCCATGCCTTGAAGCCACCATCTGGGGGTGCACCTGGGGCTTTAGCTGGCGCAGACTGGGTAGTCGCGCCTGATTTCTCCGGATCCCCTGTTTTACTAGACTCATCTTCCAGAATTGTTTGTGGACCCGGCTGGATATTCTCATGTGGATGTTCTGGCTTCGCGTCTTCCGGGTTTAGATGGGCACTCGAAGAAAAGACAGGCGTTGCTAATGGAGATGGTTCTATACTTTCGGCAATTATGCTTTCGGCGGAGTGTTGTACCTCTGGAGTTGACGACATGCTGGTCAAATATCTAGTCTAGCGGCTTGGAACAGGAGTGAGCGACGGGGTGCTGTGAGGGCACAGTAATGATCAAAATTAAGCTATGCGACTCATCGGACTCTAACAAATGTGTATGATACCGACCAACTGAAGGAAGAGAGTACAGTCTATAGATTTGGATTCTGCCTGAAGGATGTTAGTCAATTGAGGACGGATTGACAGAGCAGAATTCAAAAAAAGAATCCAGTTGTGCTTGGATCGAACGGTCTATGGATAAATTGGATTCTCGAGCAGCATTCTTTCGGCCGGGGAGAGTCAATTACACGTTTGTTTTCCATAACATTGGATTCACATTCCTCATGTCTTAATATTTCACTGTAACCGTGGCACTCAAAGACTTGGCTCTGAATCAAGGGATGGATTTTCAAGTCTTGACGTTATTGGGTTACATTGTCCAGCGCAAGGATAGGGCTGGAACAGCTGATCCCGGAGAAAGCAGCCAAACGAAGGGAGCCGAAGCCCCTGCCGCTTGGCTTATTTAACGCTGCCCTACCCGTTGACATATGTGACTATCTCCTGGCTATTGCAGAAACAAGCCCATGGTTTTGCTCCCAGAAGATTGGTAAGGCCAGATGGTTGATTGCGTGGAGAAACATAGCACGATGATGGTTTCCATGCCCAGTGAAGGGGGGAAAAAAAAGCTCATGTTGAAACGTGGAGTATGCTATCTATAATACATTCAGCCTGCAATAAGAAATTTTAAAATGAGAGCGCCTTATCATGCACCAACTGGAACAGTTGATGGCAAACGTTACACTTTAGTTTTGTTGGCCAGGTTTCTCAAAGATAACTTTGCCTTCCTTCGTAAGAGTGGCAATGCTTTGAGCTGACCCTCTGACCTCCTGTTCTAATTGTTCAATGGTCCTTGTGGGCGCGGGGGCAGCATTGACGGCCTCCTCGTCGGCAGACGATTTCTTTTCCTCCGCGGGCTTTGCAGGTCCAATGGTTAGTCCTCTCGGGGCGCTTGCAATTTCATTGACTTCGTGCGAGGTGAGGACTTCGTTGATACGGGGACCACGCGTTTGTAAGAGAATAGTCGAGGGGCCATCGAATTGCAGGAAGAGCTGGTAGCAAGCAACATTAGCACCGCTTCACTATTCAAATCAATATGAAAGCCATACTCTGTCTCCCCAGATGGTCATCCGAGACCAAGTACGGATTTTATGGAAGATGTTCATCGCGGTTTTCCATGTATCGGAACCCGACATATCCCGAATGAACTTTGAATCCTGGATGAAGCTAGGCAAGCCCTTAAGACCTGGGACCTGGAATTTCAAGGTTGTGGATTTGAAGCGGTAAGGACGAGGGGGGTTGTTTGTCATTGTGTAAGCAACGACATTGCTTGATTGTGTTAGCATGGCTTCGACGTAGTGGCATCAATGAGTATATGCGACCATACCTTGGGTGGACGACGTATTGCTCTCCGGCCTTTACCTCGACCTGGTATAACTGACCCGTACCAACTAACGCTAGCAATCCTCTGCCAGTCACTTCGGAGCTACCCCAGTGAGACACGCTCTGCGCAAGTCAGCTTAGCTTTTCAATTCACGACATCCCTATTGGATTAACAAACCAGGCTTGTGTTGATTGTCGGTTTGATAGAAAGAGAACGGCCCGTCCAGGCAAGCAACGCACGCCTCTGCGCCACCATCCAATCCACGGAACCATCCAGGTGTACAACAGCGAAGGACGTGGTAGGCGACCGAACAGAAACTAGGGCAGTTACCGGGCTAGCCGACGAGACCTACCCAGGTGTCAGTTTCACATTCCTATTGCTGATGTGGAAAGGGCCAAGCGAACCTTCTGGTAGAGAAATGGCACACCGACAACTGCTCTCCGGAATGGTTCGAGCACGCTCAACGTAGAAACCACCTGATAAGGTACCAGTAACCGTCAATAGACCTATCGTAGAATATCGAATCGCAAAACGTGGAACTATCCCATACATTATCGGCCTTCCCGCTCAGTCCCACCAATGTTCCTCGTCGGGTGAAGAGATTCTGCGAAGCGGATAGGGAGACGGACAATAACGAGTATGGAGCGCCGATAACGTCGAATCGCGCATCTGCATGTGTAAAACTATCAGCAGGAGTCCTTGGTTCAAATCGCCGGACAAGCACCTCTTGTACCGTCCCTGGAATTAGAGAAGTAAAATTACCTACCGGCAGACTCAGCTGAGTTAGGAGTGCCGACCACAGGCAGACTGTTTCCGTTGGCCGAAGATGGCTGTTCCGCAGCCGCGGCGCGAATCTGAAGGCATCTCGTCTGCCCTGCGCGATACAGTGATGGCCCTTGTCGCGCCCGCGGAGGGAGGACTCGGGTCCAGGACACAGCCCGTACACCTCGCCTCAAAGGTTGACTCATTGTCATGCCTGAGGAATGAGGAAATGGACCGGAGGAAGTGTAGGAGGAGGGGGAAAGGATTGAGATTGTATGTCTTTTGCCCGCAGGTTCAAGTTCTCCGCAACGGTACCAAAGACTGTATCGTAAATTCTTTGGTTCCTGATCGGGCAAAGCGTTTGGGTGGTTGGCCTTGGCGCCTGTGACGATAAAGGATAGCGGTAAGATTCAACTGCAGAAGTACGGATACAATGGAGGGTAGACTGCTAGGTAGTTTACGGCCCGGGACCAGTAAATAAAATTCAGAAGAGCCACCACTCACTGGCCTTACGTCACAACGCAGTTCCCACTTCAGGCTAAGGTTAAGGCATCATTTATGGCTGCCAACACATCTGTTTTTTCTACTGTGTACTGCGACTAAAATCCCCACATTGATGTCTTGACTGCTGCTGCAGCTCACAGGGGACTAGCTATCGTGCACGTTAACCCACCTTCCTTGTTTCCCCCCTTTTATTGTTTGATCATTCTGCGAAACTTTCAACAAGTTTAACTCATCTCCGAGACCCATGTCCCCGAATAGCTACAACTAGCTAAGAGCTCTTGACCCACCGCCCGGCTAGACATCGCTTTTCCACCATGAGCATCATCATCGTCGAGTAATCTACACCTGCGCGTGACGTAACTTTCTGCGCTGGATGCTTTTCTGAGCGATGGATTCGTCCATTCAGCGTTTGCTGAACGATAAGCTCTATGATCGGAGGAAACAGGGAGCCTTGGAGTAAGAACAATGAAAGCTGTCAAAGCGCCTATGCAACGCAATACGTGCTGACTGAAGCCATAAAACAGGTTAGAGAAAGTTGTTCGAGATGCCGTTTTCAAAGGAGCACATGAAAATATCCAAAAAATTGTCGAGCAGCTATGCCATGACTACGCCTACGCAGTACATCAACCTCATGCGAGAAATGGTGGCTTGATCGGGTTGGCCGCAGCCTCCATCGCGCTTGGATCGGTGAGCATGCCGAAGATGCAGCATCTTTACTGTCGTTACTGAGAATAGGGTACTAGGAAGGTGTTGCGCCATACCTAAAAGAAATTGTAAAACCAGTGCTAGCTTGCTTCACCGACCAAGATGCGCGAGTCAGGTACTACGCTTGTGAGAGCATGTATAACATTGCCAAAGTTGCTAAGGGGGAGATTCTGTTGTTCTTTAATGAAATTTTCGATGCGTTGAGTAAAGTAAGTGAGCTAAGTATCATTAGTTCACCGCTGTCCTCGCCCCGGCCTTATTGCCTGTTCCCAACTGACATATCCCTAGTTGGCGTCCGATTCGGAGCTTTCAGTCAAAAACGGCGCAGAACTCCTTGATAGACTTGTTAAAGACATCGTGTCTGAATCCGCCGCATCTTATATATCGGTCTTGCAGCTTTCCGAGAAGCAAGAGACAGACCCGGAAGCTTTGGAAGACCCTGATCTTCCAACGGCATTTTCTCTTCCCATGTTTATACCGTTACTCAAAGATCGAATTGATGTTATCAGCCCATTCACTCGGATGTTCCTGGTATCATGGTTAACTTTGTTGGACACGATACCTGATCTTGAGCTTGTCTCATACTTGCCAGAATTTCTGGGGGGTCTGGTCAAATTTCTCGGTGACCCTAATAGAGACGTGAACGTTGCCACCCAAAACCTGCTAGATAGGTTCCTGTCAGAAATCAAGAGAATCGCTCGTCTCAAGAAAGGCATTGAAGAGAGTCGCAAGGGACAAGGAAGCGAGAATAGACAATCAACTACGAGTGACAGTATTAGCACAACTACTGATCAGACCGCTGCCGCCGAAACCGAGACTGAAACCGAAGATGGTACCAATGATGTTGCTATAGAAGATTCTGAGGTGGGCTCTACAATTGAGGAAGACGGCTTGCATGCGGACGGAGATTGGATTCCAGGACAAGATGTCCAAATAGATTACCCCATGATACTAGACATCTTGGTGGGCTTCGTTGACACATCTTATGGTAAGAAATTCCGAGCATGATCCCACTTAACGGACCTAGACTTACCGTCAGTAGAAGAAGAGATGCAGTTGACAGCGCTGCGATGGATCGATAGTTTCTTCGAAATAAGCCCCGAAGACATACTTCCATTCGTTCCACGTCTTCTGACCCAAGTACTTCCAGCTATGTCCAGTGGCTCAGACCATGTGCGGCAGGCCGCAAACCGAGTCAATACATCATTGCTAGAGTATATTGTGTCTCTATCTGAAGACACGTTATCGGATGAGACACGACAGTCATCATCTTCGAGACTAACATCTACACCTAACAAAGAGACTGAAAGGAGAGACTCTGCGCCAAACGCCAAACCCTCTGATGTATCATCCACCGCCTCTAGGAAGCAATCGGTGCAAGAGTCTACGCAAGAACCGACGCCTCGGAGCAGTGTCACGTCCACACCAGTGCCGCCTGCCGATCTTGATTATGCTGCGGCTGTCAACTCGCTTACACTGCAGTTCTTGAACGAGAATGAAGCTACAAGAGTAGCTGCCCTCTCTTGGTTGATAATGCTGCATCGGAAGGCTCCTAAAAAGGTGGTGGCATTCAACGATGGAACATTTCCTGCTCTGCTGAAGACACTGTCCGATCCAGCGGAGGCAGTAGTGACGAAGGATCTCCAGCTCTTATCCCAGATATCGCGGAATAGCGAAGATAGCTATTTCAAGTCGTTCATGGTGAACCTCCTTCAACTG